TTGTAACCCGAATTCTGCACTCAACTCGAGCAAACTTGATGTTGAGTTACTCATCGGTGTCTTAGTGGGCTGGCACAGCACACTTACTTGTACCTTCATTCTTTTTTTTACTTTGTAATTATCTCTTCTCATATAGGACACTTTTGGTTTAAGTGAAAGTATTTTCACATGAAAAAACTCCGTCGTGATTTGGTGTGGGAGTTGTGGGAGTTTTTTCAAATTAAATGGCTGGTAATTAGTGTGAAAAGATTCCCACACCTAACTACATGACAAAATATTTGCGCATGAAAAACTTTCTACCAAACTTATCTTTAACTTCCCATACTTTCAACGAAACAAATAAAATTTTATTTCAAACAATTTAAAACCCATTGAAGTATAAGGATTGTTGTCTTTTGGCTAGGGTTTGAGTCAACACAGCCCAAGGTTCTAGCTTTGAATTAAACAACTAGCTAAAAAACGAAATAAAATAAAATAAGAAATCTACAAATCGACAAATCTTCTTCTTTCTTGAACATTATAAATCCCAACTCTAATCAGGGGCTTCTATTAAAAATGGGCTATCGTACTCATGCTTACTTGGGTTACTTAAACAATATTAATATAAAATCTCTTACTGTACATCAAGATTAATCTCCACAAACCTCTTTAGTGTTGACCAATCCTTAGATGGCATGCTCATTTCCCATTGGCTCAAACAACTTCCACAAATTGTGGGTTGTTGATATATAAGGGTATTGACATTTATCCTACAGGTGAATAACATTTCTCAAATTTATATTTTCATTGAATGTTTTTAAACTCGGATGAGCGGAGAAAATCGTCCACCCATAGATCTTATCAGATTATTTGGATTAGTGATCGGGGATTGAACCTAGATAGGTAATCTAAAATAAAATTAAAAAATAATGAAATAAAATAAAAATTAAAATAGGCTTTACAAAGTGGAGATTTAGAGAGGACTTAAAAAAACAATAGATAAATTTAAAAAAGAAAAAAATATATATATACGGCAGGGTTTTAGGGGGAATTAGACTTGGATCCATACGATCTTGGAACCGGTTCGTCCCCAACCGATTTCCATCCTGATTGAGGATCTAAATTAAAACATCGTTAGGTTTTAAAACACTGTTTTAATTCAAGTCCATTTGCTGTGAATTCTATTTTCTTCAATATTCAAGCTTATACAAAAATTTATGTGTTGATCTTCTTTATTTGAGAGTTGAAGTTTTCTAGAGGTCATTATGGGTTTTATTGAATAAGTATATTACGACTAGTTTTGTGAAGTTCATTAAATTTATTAAAGGTTTACAAGTGGGTTTGAATGTAGATACATGGATGTGAACATGGCTTTGAAATGGAGGATGTGGGTCTTGCTTATAATAGAGTGTTTTGCTCGCAGCGGTGCCCAAATTGTGTGGAATATTACCTTTCTTTATAATAGAGTTTCTGACTTTCTTTTCACTTAATTTTCAGGGTTACTCAGTTTATTGAAGGACGTATATATTCCTCATGTTGATGAGGTGGTTTGGGAAATTGACAAAAATGAGATTTATTCATTTAAGTCTATGTATCATTGCTATTTCATGATAGGGTGAGGTGGTCCATGCCTGAAATAGCTATTCTGTGGAAATAGCCCCTGCCTCTCAAAGTGCTAGGCTTTTTATGGCTGGCAGTCCAAAATAGGGTACTCACGATTGATAATCTCATTAAGCGAGGGAAATTTCTGTATAATATTTGTCTTATGTGCAAGGAGGATGGGGAATCAGGTGACCATCTCTTTCTCCATTGTCCTTTTGCTGGCCACATTTGGACGTTTCTTGCGAAGTTTGGAGTAGCAATTGTTATGCCGCCTTCTGTGGTTAGGATTTTACATAGCTTGTCGGTTACCTTACCACAGACTGGGTCAATTATTTGGCAAATCTCTAGGGGTGTCATTCTTTGGGAAATATGGAAAGAGAGATATAGAAGAGTTTTTTAAGGGATTCCTCTGCCTTTTGGAAAAGTTTTAGAGAGGATTATGCACTCTATCTAAATACATCTTTCTGTTACTACTTGTGGGCAAGATATATCTGAAGTGGACGTTCGAAGAAACTTAAGTAATCTTTTTCATTTGGGTTTTATGAAATGTAGGCCTAAAGGTAGATGGATTGCCCCACCACCTGGGGTTTACAAACTTAACTTCGATGGTAGCTTGGTTGGGAACCCGGGACAAGCTGGTGTTCGTGGGGTGCTTCGGGACTTGATGGGTAATGTGGTCTTTACGTATGCAGGGCCACTTGGGGTACGAATTGCCAATTTTGCTGAGCTCTTTGCTCTTTTTTGTGGTCTATGTATTATTGTGGAGAGGAATTTGGGTGTCTCATTCATCTTTGAAGGGGTTTCTCTCAATGTCATAAAGTGGTGCAAAGTGGAGCAGTTGATACCTTGGGACCTCAAATCTTTGTTGCTTCAGATTTTGGACATGTTATTCTCCTCTTCTGTCTCTTTTGTTCATGTGTATAGGGATACTAATGGGTTGGCAGATTCTCTTGCTAAAGGAGGATTATCCCTTTCTGTTTTGTCTATTTCTGATTTTGTAGTCTCCTTCTAATCTAATACAATTTATGAACTTTCATAAAAAAAAAAAAAGGAGGATGCGTGGGTCTTGCTTCCCCACGATGCGGTAGGTGTTTACCGATGTTAACAAAATGCCGAAATAACTATCGGTTTTGGACACATATCTAAATACTTCAAAAAGAAATTAAATATGTTACCGGTATGGAACTCGCCATAGAATTGACGAAGAGGCTGTTCCAGTTGAAATTGATAGGAAATTTTTTTTTTTTTCACTGTTTTCTGATGTAATCTCAACTTCAAATAAAATTGGTTCGTTACTGGAAATTTCTTCTCCAAAACAAATTTCATAATCATTTTCTTTAAGGATTTTTATTATTTTCTTAACAATTTTTCCTTTTTTAAGACAGTTTGGCGCAATATGTCCTTTCTCATGGCATATATAACAATGACAACTCTTTTTGGGTTTGTTGATATTCTTCTTGATTGCGTATCATTTTTTACATTGAAGTTTTTCTTTTTATTCCACCTATTTTATTTGAAAATTTTCTTTTTGAAATTTTTTTTTTATTTTTTATTTTCACAATCAAATTCAAAATTGTTTTTTAGAATTCAATAGCAATCTTTTTCTCCAAATCCTTTCTTGACTTTATTTTTGGTTTTTAAGTCTAAGCAATGAAATCTTATTCTATTTCCCAAAGTATCATTTGATGATGATGTATGACTCACATATTTACTATATTCAGTGTTAAAAATTTCATCCCATGGTGATGGTAATTTATGGAAATTTTGGTTTTTCTATAATTTTGATTTATTTTCATTCAGCAATTGGTACCATTTTGGAAATTCTTTAGCAAAGGCTTCAAATTATTTAATGTTACAAAGTGTATTCTGCATCATTTTGCAATTTATATTCATCTATGTTACAAAGTTATATCTTTAATATTTTTGCGAAATCTTTCAGGATGTCTTCCATTTTTCTTTTTGTATTAAGCAGTGGTTTAAAAAACGGATCGGTGACCCGGATCGGGCATCCCAAAAACCGATCCGGATCGACGAATCAGTAATCCGGATCGGGAATCAGTTGAATCGCTCGGATTACGCCTTAAAAAAATTCAAAATAATTATTAAAATTCATTATAAATATTGTTTTTTAGGAATCCAATAAGAAATGGGGGTACTACATTATTAACTTTCATTGTTTTGACCAATTTATGAATATTGAGATGTTCTTTCCCTGTATGAACTTATGTTAACCATTAAATTTACATCACACAAAAGAAATCATAGAATTATCATGGATTAAGTATATAATCATA